TAAGCGGACCCCCCGTATCCTAATTCTTTTGTTAATCTACTTAATGTGATTAGACTTTCTGAAGTTTCTTATTTAAGTTCATTGGATGATTATGATATCTCATTAGTCTAATTTAATAAATTATTAAAAGCTCTAATTCACCTTATCAATCATAACCCGAGCTTTATAAGTACCTGCACTTGTGCTTGTAATCTGAAATTAAACGTGTTTCAAGTACTTTTGATTTTGGCCTATACCTAATTATTATATCTTAGTTCGACCCAGGTAACACCTTCATGTGACTAAAATGCTTCATTTTGAAGTTAGTTTCCTAGCTGATTTTTTAATTATATAGGGTATATGCTCCAACTAAGCTCGCACGCTTCCACTATGTCGCACCACAAAAATACGTATGGGTATGTCATAATAGAAGCACGCCACAGTGGAAATCCCGAGCCATAGTTCAAACACTTATCCCAAATCAAAATGAAGCACATATAAGATTAGTTACAATACCATGTACAAAAATGATGTTTAACATTGTTTCCTGAGTTTTACTTCAATGAAAACAACAATGAAAGCTTGTCACGCAAATAGAAGCAAGGTTGCAAAGACTCATTTCAGCTAAAATAATGTTTTTCGGAATAATAAAACCAAAAGATGGTATGATGGCATGTTTCACTTGTAACTTACAAGAAGAGGTTACAAAGTATGCGTTGGAAACATAAAACCTGTAAATTTTGCTTTCTATGAGTCACAATCAGCGATTTGCTGATCGCTGAGTGAGTGAGTGAGTGAGTGAGTGAGTTTGTGAAAAATCGCTGATTGTGACTCTCATGAAGTGAAATAAACAGGTTTAATATGTCAAACACATTCTTTGCAACCTCTTCTTGTATCCTACCAATTCAAAATTTGATCATGGCATCTAATTATTTCATAATTTAGAAAAACATTGTTTTAGCTGAAATGAGTCTTTGCAACCTTGAATAGAAGGAGCACCGTTGGACACTTTCTGAAATATTTCAATCGTATAATTCCCTTGCAAACCCAAATAAATCTATCTGCGTAAAAATAAATAAAATAAGAGTGATTTGCGGCAAACCCGCCAGTATCGCACCCAACGTCACGTAAGCGTACTACGACGCGGCTCTCAATCAAAGGAGTAACAAGTGTGATACTATCACTGCTGGACTAGATCTTTGGTTTTCTCATGTAATGGTTCATCAGAGAGGGGAAGCTTAGTAATCCCCATTGCTTGCCCATGACGCCATTCTATCGCGGCATGAGCCAGCAACGCCGGCCCCAAACCTACCGTCTCCAACACTCCACTATAAAGCATGAAATTAAGCCCGCCCACCAACAGCAAGGTGCAAAAACTAGCCAAGGGGAGGGAAAATACCCTTGAACCTGTTAGGATAATATCTGAAAGATCCAAATTCGGCCAACGCCCGCCCCGTTAAATTTAATTACAATATTGCGACAAAAAACGAAATGATTATTTTGAATTCACTTAAGTACTGCAATCCAAATTGCAAGTGTAGGGACATTAACTTAAATTTAATTTCATGAAAAAGCCATAAGCGAATTCAACCATTCAGGTCAATGTGGATATTATTGAAAATAATTATGAATAAATTTGAAAAATCTCACCCAATTCTCCATCGTGCTTGAATCCTTGGCAGCACTGTTCAGTTTCATCCATCATGACCAACACTGTAGCTACTTACTGTAGCTACCAACGCTACATTTCCGAATATGATACACACAAGCAAACCTGCCAATGATTTGAAGGCTTCCACATAAATCCTCCTGTCCTGCTCTTCACAATGAACGAAGTATGTCACCAAAGTATATTGATCACTCATTTACGACGTGCACTCCAGGCAAGCAAAGCAGAAATCATCAATGATGATCAGTCACCATAACGTAAAGCTCGTCATCATAACGTAAAATTACATCAAGTTTGGAAATGCGTCAAATAACCCTCCCCTTGGCTAGTTTTTGCACCTTGCTGTTGGTGGGCGAGCTTAATTTCATGCTAGTGGACTGTTGGAGACGGTGGGTTTATGGTCGGCGTTACTGGCTCATGCCGCGATAGAATGGCGTCATGGGCAGGCAATGGAGATTACTGAGCTTCCCCTCTCTGATAAACCACTGCATGAGAGAACCAAAGATCTAGTCTAGCAGTGATAGTATTACACTTGTTACTCCTTTAATTGAGAGCCGCGTCGTAGTACGCTTACGTATAGGCACTGACGTTGGGTGTGATACTGGCGGGTTTTGCCGCAAATCACTCTTATTTTATTTATTTTTACGCAGATAGATTCATTTGGGTTTGCAAGGGAATTATACTATTGAAATATTTCAGAAAGTGCCCAACAGTGCTCCTTCTATTTGCGTGACAAGCTTTCATTGTTGTTTTCATTGAATTATTACTCAGGAAACAATGTTAAACATCATTTTTGTACATGGTATTGCAACTAATCTTATATGTGCTTCATTTTGATTTGGGATAAGTGTTTGAACTATGGCTCGGGATTTCGACTGTGGTGTGCTTCTATTGTGACATACCCATATGTATTTTTGTGGTGCCACATAGTGGAAGCGTGAGAGCGTAGTTGGAACATTTACCCTATACAATATACAATTTAAAATTAGCTTGGAAACTAACTTCAAAGTGAAGCATTTGAGTCACTTGAAGGTGTCATCTGGGACGAACAAAGATATAATTAATATATGTAAAAGCCAGAAGTACTTGAAACACGTTAAATTGTAGTTTAAAAGCATGGGTTATGATTGTGTAGGTAGATTAGAGATTTCAGTTATTTATTAAATAAACTTCAATTATAGAATTCAGAAAGTTAATTAACATAAGAGATAGGACGCGGGGGGTCCGCTTAGGGAGGCGACTAGCCTATGAAGTTGTATAATAAATCTTCATATTTAGTGTATTTGTTAATTACAGACAATGTCAATAGCGAAAGTCATATCTTCAACCAGGCGCTTACGAACAAGTGAAGTTTTAGGAAAGATGTGGTAAATATGTTGATAGGTTTGAAATAAGAATTAGGATTGTTGTGCTTTAGTTTTCGGTAAGGTATGATGTGTCAACAAAGCCCTTTTGAGCAAATTTTCAAACATCAAATTGATTGAGTGATTTATTGAAAGACATTGCGTTGCGAAAATTGACAAGTCATACATCTAACATAGTAGTAGTAGCAGTGTCGCATAATCTTATCACAATTGCTGCAAATAGTGCTGGAGGGGCCGGCAGGGCTGAATACGGATCAAAACTAACATAACTACTAACACTAAAATGATCCCGGAACTAACACTTATCCATTGCACTTTTAGTTATATATTAGATTTATTTTTCTACTAAGTCATCTATGCTTCTTTCTATTTTTTGGATCAAGTACAACTAATACTAATCTACCTTTATGTATGTTTTACTCCCTTTTAACCCATTATCTTTATGAATGGCGAATCATATGACGTGAGACACGTACAAGCTGGAACTCAAAGAATTACTTCGAACAGGATGTCAAACAAATTCAGGACCAATCCAAATGAGACCAGAAACCAACAAGGCATCGGGGAGTTATATATTCTGGGAGAGGTATTTGATAAATAATCAAAAAGTGGTAAGTTAAAATCAGAGCCAAGGATCATGAGAGGTAATTGTCAATAATTCATTAATTAGTAGAAATCTCGATAACTTTTTCAAGGGAGCGTATCGGCTTTTGTAGGCGGTGCGTTTGGTCGTCGATTTGGCTTAACTGGTGGCTCGCCCACGCGGGCTGTCACTATCATCAGATAGGGGAAATTTTCCTCTACCTGCTGGTGGTACACTGGAGTCGCTTTTTACGCGGTTTTTTTTTACACGGTTTTTTTTACGCGGTTTTTTTTTACGCGGATTTCGGAATTTACGCGGTTTTTTTTACGCGGATTCCGGAATTTACGCGGTTTTTTTTTACGCGGATTTTGGTTTTTTTTTTACGCGGATTTCAGAATTTACGCGGTATATCGCTTTTTACGCGTTTTTTTCTTACACGGTCTTTTTTCACTCGGTTTTTTTTACGCGGATTTCGGAATTTACGCGGTTTTTTTTTACGCGGATTCCGGAATTTACGCGGTTTTTTTTTACGCGGTTTTTTTTCACGCGGGACGTATCACCCGCGTAAAAAGCGACTCCAGTGTATTGATAAGCGTGTGCGTGCTGCCGGTTGCGCCGGATCGACGATCGGATGCATTGTTTGCAGGAGCTGGTGCTTCCCTTTAAAAAAGGAATCGAGAAATAACCATATTATCCTGTAATTGATATTACTATTTTTACATATCAATGAAATAAGTCATGACAGAGTAATAGATGGGGAAGGACAATAGACACAAGTTGACACAATAAACAAGACAAGTGGGGGTTAATACACAAGACAAAATGACAAAATAAGTGACGACAGAAGACAAGACTGGGACAAAATCAACCTTAAAAAAAAGAATGCGCAATTATATTATCAAAACTATTTGGATCAGCACAAAAACAACAGTGACCAAACGGGCACCATAGCCTAGGAACGTCTGTGTGTTGATTTAAAATAGAGGCTCATAGAAGCAAAATTTATCAATAAAAGGGATCCAGTGTAGAGTTTAAGCAAGTGCTGCCACTGGATCACTACAAAAAAAAAAAAAAAGTTTGGAAATGCGTCAAATATGGTGCTTCCTCGGTACAACGCAAAATATTCAAGTTTATTGTCAATTCCACGGTATTAGGTCGTGCGCGGAATTAGGCAGATCAAGGTACAGTACCCTATTCAGAAACGATACTTCAATTTTACTTCGTTTCGGCTAATCACGACCGATAGTTCGGTAGTACCTACATAGGAAATTAGTGAAAATGTTCATATTTTCGTAATTATTTTTTATATTTTTTTAATCCATTGTGCGTAAGTCTTAACTTTCAATACCAGGAAGCTCTTTTAGCACGTTATTAACGAAATGTTGATCCCGCATGAAATAATTACCTCATCATCTGTTGAACTATCGCTATCAGAATCAGTGCTTGGAGAATCCGTTCCTGAAGAACTCGTAGCGTTACTCGTGGTTGTAGTCGTAGTGTTCGTTGCAGGGATGCTTTCCTGAAACGGACATTTAAATACAATTAATATTAGTTTGATTATTACTAATCGTACACAACAAACAGCTTTACAAGTATTACCTGCGATATCCTTCTAGATACACACTCTTGTTTTTTATCGCTATAAGATTCGATTATTCGATTTTCAGTGATGTTATGTATAGTTTGAAGTTTGTCATCGTCACTTGTGAAGTAGCATTTTTCATCTGATCTGGAAAATTCTTCACTACTTCCAATCTTCGTTGAAGTATTAGGAATAACATTCTGAATTTTGTCGCTGGATCCTACTAGTTTCCTTTTAAATGTAACGTCACTAATTTTAGCCCTATTTACTGCAAAAGGACTTACTGCCAACTCTTTTAATATTTTTTTGAATAATCCTGCTTCGTGTTTACCAATAGACGAATGTTTTTCGGTGTATTTGATAATAGCTGCATTAGCTCGATAAAAAAGCTCCAATGCTTCTATAGATAGCTGAGATGGATTACTATGATTTACCTTGATTGGATACGTAGCATTACATTCATATAAACACTTCGCTGCTTTAAGATAATGTGCTAGATAAACCATTGGTTGATCTTTTCTTTTTTCGGCAATTTTTCCAAGCATGTAATGGTACAACCATTTTTCGTCTTCATTATTGCCCCTATAGTGATGTTCCTCCTTCTGATCAACATTAGTTTCCGCGTTCACTCTTTCGAAACTCTTGTGTGCAATGTTCATATAATACACTTGTTGGGACGTTAGATAGCTTAAAATGTGTTGTAAATATCATATGAAATAAAATACATGTATCCATAAGCATTATTACATACCTGTAACTAGATTTAACTGACGATTTTATAGTTCGAGCACAATATGAACTAACATTATACGCAAATGATCCATATTCAACCCAGAGTTGTGGATCATGTTCGTTTAATATTAAGGACTGTTCAAAACATCGCATTGTATTATTTGTTTCATGAAGGAATAACGAATAACTGAAATAAAAGAAAAACATTTTTTCAGCAAACCACAATAAGTATTGGAAATGGATTAAAACATGAATGAGAACTATCTTCTGGGGGGAAGCAAAAAAGATAATATGAGCAATTCCCTCCGAATTCGCAAATCGGTTTATTTTTGTATTTTTTTATTTGGTTGAAAATTTGCAGAAACGTTCCCTATGACCCAAGAGAAGAGGTGACAATACGGGGGCGAAAATGGACCACTTTTCTGTCAAACGTAACCAGCTCCTGATTGGCCGACTTCATGTGCGTAAGATAGAGATAGAGATAGAGATAGATAAAGATAGAGATAGAGATAGAAATAAAATAGGAAGAAGCCAATTGTCACCTCTTCCTCTTAGCTTATAACCGCCTATGCCATGTTGCATCTTCATATCGCCAATTTGAATTCAGCCTTATTTTTGAAAAGGACCTAAATGGACAATGGACAAAACTATTTGGAAAAAATATGCACTCTAGAAAAAATTACCCAACTTTCTCAACAAATGATTTTTTGTACTTTTTTTTATTTGTTGATATGTTTTAGGGGACAAAAATGCCATATTTTGCACTATATGTCAAGATGCAGAAATGATGGAAAAAAAAGTTCTGATTTTTTTTTCAAAAAACTCAAGTTTTTGGAAAAATATCCCAAACTTGTTCCAATTACTTTTTCGACTTTATATAATGAAAGTACACCTAATTTACAATAAAAAAGCATTTTTTTTTTCTAAGTCGCACCGTTTTCGAGATGCAGCGGGTTCAGTGATTCTATAACATTCACCAGAAAACCATTCCCCAGAATGCACCATTTCCCAAAAAATCATCCCCAGAATGTACCATTCCCCAGAAAAGATAATGAAATTAGTAATTTATCACTTTTTTTTTGGTCATTTGATATAATATTTCAGTTTTATATTACAGAACAGGCGTCCATAAATAAACAGGTCCACAAGTATCTTGCACACTGAATAATACATCTTCTGAACACCATTTTTTTCGATAAATTTTACACATTTGATTTAATATATTTTTCATGATAAAACTCTCTGATTAGTTTCACTTTACTATTGATGATACACTACGTTTAGTTTTATGGAATTGTGTATTTATCAATTCCAAACAATTTTATAGCTCTTTTGAAAATGACAACCTTCAAGTTTTCGAGCACTTCGTTCATCATTTAAAAAGTCAAAGGGTCTATTATGCAATCCAAGTCAACCAGTCGGAAACTGTTAGCCCTTATCGAAGAATTGTTCGACCTGAGTTGAAGAATTTCTAGTGATGGATTAAAAAATCGGTGCATGGAACGTTGAACTACCGATTACAAATTTATAACATTATTCCACACGTTATTATCCCGAATGGGCATTACCCCGAATCCCTTGCGAAAAACTA